ATACAAACCTCTGAACTGTGTTAAAATTTCATTTAGGACCATAGATGAGAGTTCATAAGTATCTAAGCTATAAATCTGCTTTTTGAGCTTGTTGAATTTGCACAATTCCAGTGGCGTTTTTATAGTAACGTCAGAGTTTTAGTTGACCTGTGACCCAGAAGGGCCAGGCTCTGTTAARACTTGGAACCACAAAAAGGTCTAATCCCTGTTGGAAATGAGAGTTCAGAATTCAAGGCGGCAGTTACTTTTCACAACTCAGTGAGTAAAACTCTTACTTTTAATAGTATTTCTGTATTATTTATATCACATTTAGTCAGTTGTACATACTACTCTTCAGTGTTTCTAAAACACTGTTTCTATAAGCAGGAAATACCACTTGGAGCCCAGTTAATGTTTGGTAGCGGTGTTCAGCCACAGCAATGAGATGAGGAACAGGACTGTTCATGTTTAGTTTGCGCAAGAAACATCAAAGTTAGCTACAACTGGACCTTTGAGGGCCATCATAACTGTGTTTGACATGACACCCTTGCTTTAACAGACAGGGTCTCAGTAGCTTGTGGAAGAACCATACACAGCCACAACAGCTTAGCYRCTCATGCTCARGCTGGTCACATACAGCTGTGGGATGGCATCCCCAATGAGGTGTGTTGAATAGAGGCGTCACACACACCTAGGAAGATTGACCGCTGTTGTGTGATTGCAATGCAATATTGTTCGGAGCAGGCTGTCAATGTCATTTTTTATTTTTTTTTTTAGTCACGGCTAGATTTGTGTGTAGAATTATATATTAACATAAGTTTTTTATTGATTAACTTCAGTCTATTAGAAACATCTTTCATTGCAGATGTATATTAATAACATGTTTTTGCCTCAACAGTAAACTGAGTTTCACTGACCTAAGTTTAACATGTCATTAWTATTGTTACCACATTCAGCTTTACCAGCTTGTCCTCGCCCTGAAAAATATGGCCGCTCMCTCCAACCAAGGAAAGTCACGTGATAGTGCCTTTAGCCAATACACCTTGTTGGGCATCCCATTCTTCAACCAGCAATCCAGCCATTGTGGTCACTCTGGAACAAAGAGCACACTCAAGCTTTGTGGATTAGTGGGCAACACTGTTGCCTCACAGCAAAACGGTCAGGGTTCAAGCCCCAGATGGAGGRATTTCTGTGTAGAGTTTGCATGGGTTCTCGCCAGGTACTTTAATTTCCTTCCTCAGTCCAAAATGTGCACGTTTAGGCCACTTTTAATCCCAGGACTTCCTTGTAAAAGTGTTCTGTGATCTCAGTGGGAGTTGCCTGGATAAATAAAGMTTATTAAAGCTGATCCCACAGGCGTTTAATGGGGTTAAGATCAGGACAGCGAGAGGCTGCTCCATCCTCTCCACTCCCAAATTCTGGTCTCAGACTGTGGTGATGCAGGATTAACACTGGTTGTTTGCAGGCGCTGACAGTCAGGTGTCTGTCACTCAGAGTCAGTAGCAGAAAAGCTGTCTGGTGTTGGCAGAAGAAGAGACGATTTTAAATTCACAGGTTTTAATTGCTTAAAATAAAAAAAMAACTCTGTACAGACTTAAACAGCAAGAAAGTGTGTGTAATGAAAAGTCTATAAGTTTGACACGTGGCTTTGTCGCCCCCTGCTGGTGCTTTCGCTGACCTGCTCTGCAGTTTTTCTGCTCAATCCAAAAAAAAAAAAAAAAAAAAATCAAAGCCTAAAAATCTTACCGTGCAAAACTTGTCTGCCTACTTCTGGGAGTTCAATAAACTTCTAAATTAGTTTCATTTATCAGAAGAGGAGCTGTGTGAACAAGCTGCAATCATTCCTCTCAAGCTTTAATACTTTTATATGTTTTTATTTTTTATTTTTTGGATTGGTGTTCCAAAAATAAAATACCCACAAATTTCCAGTCCTTGCATCCCTGGGTTAAATAATTCATTTATACTGACTTGCTTCAGAGCTTCAGTTTGAATTTTTCAAACAAACATGAATCTTTCATGTCTTTCTTCACGTCAGCGAGAACTGGGGGGAATTCTAAAAATGTACACATGGCTTTTACAGCGCCTCTGAGAGCAACAGAGAGCCGGGCGGCGCGATGACTCATTTAAATGTTCGCATCAGGCCATCGTTCAGTGACTCGGGGAGGAAAAAGTGGAGAACCCGAAACAAAGACTTGATGTTTTCTTAGGAGCGTTCTGAAACTGAACCTCCTGGTGTCTGTAATGCTTCTGGATTGATCTTCTGRCATTCTTTGCAGAGATGAAGAACGGAGAAAGTGGTCGTTGTGTCGTTCAGGAGGAGGAAGTCGGTGCACAAGTGCTTATCAGCTGCTCCCAGCTCAGTCCAGGCCCTCCAACGGGAAGCCTTTCCTCTGCGCCTGTAGGGTGAGGCAACATGTTTGATGGTTGTGATTTACAGTCTATTAGATGTAAAGGGAGGGGTCTCCCCAGGGGCTCATCTCAGCTGGCAGATTCAGAATATCATGGCTCGCCACAAGTTTTTGGGGGCGTTTTTTTTTTTTTTTTCACATGGAGAAGAGCTTTCATGTTTTATTTAAGGTGCAGTCCTACTCAGGGAAGCTGCTAACTCACTGAATGTGATCTGCCTCAGCACTGCCTCCACATCTCCTCTCCCTCAGCATCTTTGAGCTCTCGCATTCAGCCGTTTAGTCTGAGCACGGTGTCAATCCAAACCTCATAATCCCCCCCCCCACCTCGACCTCCGGTGTTGGTGAGGATTAGTCACAATCAACTAATGTCACAACCGCTCGCGTTAAGGTGCGTCCGAGCCACGTAATTACCTTCTCCCCTTTCAGAAGAAAGTCATCCTCCACCGAAAAAAAAAATAATAATTCAAAGCCGTCATAGAGCAGTTCCCAGGTGACTCATTCATACTTTTTTCTCTTACAAAGAAATATTGAGCAGCTTCACACACTTAAAAAAAGAGAGAGAGAGAAGGTGAGGCGACAGAAAAACCTGGTAATCCAGTCAGACTGGCTCAGCTGGAACATCTGCACATTCTTGGCTGAGCTTGAGACATTTCAACCTGCGTTCAGGTGAATTTTCTGCTCCCTYTGTGAAAAAATCCAGCTGACAACAGAGTGCTATGATAATAGCTCACAGTTTGTCGCCGCTCTGGGTCCATCCACTCGGAACAGACTGCCTGCAAGACTGAGGATTTCATTTTGGGCTAAACACAAAGCAGCAGGCTGTTTTGCACAAGATGTCTTCTTTTTTTGTTTTTAAAACCTTAACCATCTTTTCACCCACAGTTTGTTTCTGCCTGCCAGCTGAATCCTGTAAATATTTAATATTTGATAAATAAGTGAAACAACCTCTTTTCTTACTTCTGGGTAGCACACTGAGATGCTGCCCTGCGCAGGAGCTGATTATCACAGTTTCATTCGGAGGCTCTGCTCAGAGGCTGTTTCCTCTTTTTTTTTCATTTTCAAAGCATCAAATGCATCCATCCTGCTGGCAGCAACACAAAGATTTAAAAATATGGTTCTGAACTTAATATTTAGTTGAGTTTTTATGATTGTTCACCACTAAAGCACGAGCAATAATATCTCATGAACCACAGGACTCGTTTTAGTTAAACTTGTGATTAAAAACTTTTGGAGTCAATTCAATTCAAGATGGCTGCCACAGCCAACTGACAACAGAGAATTTGCATTTCCTGAGAAATTGTAGTGTGTATGCTTAGTGCTGCAAGATTTATTCTGAATGGCTAAAAAGCTGAAATAAAGATACGTTTTAAAAAGTAGCTGAAATTAGCACAAAGAAATAGAAAGAGCCTTTTTGCTGAAATAAGCTGTAACACGAAGCATAAAAAGCTCAAATTAGCTAAAAAGTAGCTAAAAACACAGACAACAGCTGAAAGTAGCATAAAAAGCATAAAATAGTAWTTTTTTAATTAGCAGAAGAATAACAGAAAAGGTCATACTAATAGCTAAAGTGGCAGAATATTTTTAATTCAGCTAAATAGAAGCCGGAGGAAACTGAAATTAATACAAAGGAGTGAAAAAAGCAGAACCAGAARAAAAGGTAAAAAATAAAGATTTAGGAACATTTTCAAGAGTTTTAAGGATGATAAAACCAGCTCCATTCATTTTCAATGAGGAAAAAAATGTCAGGAAAAAGCAAATATCTCAAAACATTTAAAATGCTGAAGTACAAAAGGCATAGTCATAGTAATGGCTTGAAGGAGCTGAACGTGCTGCCGTTTGAATATTTGAATTAGCACAAAAATTGAGGAATGAGACACAAGCTGAAAAAGACAAGATCTTGGCTAAATTGTTATAATTCAGTCAATTTTAGAGATATTGTCCAAAAGAAATAGTGATTTTAACTAAGGCTGATCTCCAACAACTTTGACTGCTAGCAAAATATCTTATGAGCTACTAGAGAAGTGAAGTTTTTAGAAAAGTTTCAGAAGATAACCACTGGATGTACGGCTACAGCTAATGGCTCTGTCAACTGGGGCTGGAAGCACGTTCTCTGGCTTTTTGTGTGTTTGTGTGGTGTCGTGTCTGTCATGTGGTCTTGTGTGCATGATATCTCCTGAATGAGATTATATATTGACTATAAATAGGCATAGTAACTCCATTAGGGTAGTACTCAGTCTGATTAGATTTGGGCATCAAAGGGTCAAAGGTCAAGGTCATTTATGATGATCGGTAACATAAAACTGGACTTATTTTTCAAAGGCAGACATGTAGGGCAGGCGGAGGCATACCAATCGACGCTTTGGCGTCTTGTTCCACCTTGTTCACTCTTGAAGCCAGCCCAGTTATATATACAGTATCAAYCTTCATTCATTTCTTTAAAAAAACAACATAAATTCAATAAATAATTGAATACAAATCATGAATAAATGAACGGTAGCCAAAGAAGACAAAATCTTATAATATCTGCCCCTTTTTTTCTCAGATAAATAKGTTTAATCAAAAATAAACTTCAGCTTCGGATGGTTCCCACATCGAACTCAGTACAGAAAACACAAAAATGACCTTTTCATTCAGTTTTACATTTTGAGCTAAAATCTGTGTGTGATTCCAACTAAGAGTCATTTACAACACACTCCAAGTGGTTCTGATCATGCAGTACTCCATTATACATCGTTGGTGACAACTCTGTTTGTCTGTTAGCAAAATATCTCAAACCAGTGGTTCCCAAACCTTTCTGATTTTGACACACACACACACACACACACACACACACACACACACACACACACACACACACACACACACACA